AGGTTAGTACACTGATTTACGTTGTTAAAGGCTAAAAAAAATTAAATGACTAAATAAATCTCAGTTCATGTTTTAATTTGAAGCATATAGATTATTTCTTCAATGTCACTTGTTCTAAAATGGTTAGCACAGCCAGGTGCCAGTGGCTCATACCCGCCTATAGTGCTAGCTACTCAGGAGTCTGGGATATAAGGATCATGGTTTGAAGTCAACCCAGGCAGAAAAGTCTGTGAGGGTCTTTTCTCCAATAAAGCACCTAAAAACTGAAAGTGGAGATGTGGCTCAAAGTGATAGAGAGCTAGCCTTGAGCAAAAACGCTAAGGGACAGCCTCCAGACCCTGAGTTCAAGCCCTATGACCGACAAAAAATGAACAAAAAACTTCCTCAACAACAACAAAAAACTGTTAGCACACTTGGTTGCCTGTAACTTTAAGACCTAACATTTTCAGAATGGCCTTTAAAACTCTTCATATATAGTTGCTTACCTTATTTTTAATTATCTTAGCTCTACACTGTTGAATTTAAGGCATTTCAATAATTTCCTGTAGTTTTCTCCCTCTATGCTTTTAGTTTTCTATTTTTTCCCTTCCCATCATATATGACCTTTTGTAAAGGCAGTCATTGCCTCTGTGATGGTAGAATAATGATAATTATTTCATGTAGTGCTGATTTGTATAAAGTTTCAACTTATGAGCATTTTCCCGAAGACAGAAAGTCACATCTAGATTGACTGAACAGTTAATACTCCTTCAAGTATACTGTTCAAAAATATGTGTGTGTGTGTATATATATTTATATATCACTATTCACATATATAACCCATTGCTCACCAATTCCAATATTGATACTTAAGTATGTAATTCCAGAATAGGTATTTAATTTGGTTTCATGAGTTCTTTCCTATAGACATCTGAGTTCTGAGTATTTTATTCCAATCCCTTCAATCATTTTAAGGAAGATCACTACATGTAATTTTTCCTATTTAAAATGGGACTATTTGTACTTTAAACAAACTAAGAGATATTTAAGACACTAAAGCACTCATGTTCTTGTACTATATCGGCTTTCCACATTTGGTTACAGTATATGTTTCAAGTAGGAAATAAGTGGATGCGGTTAGCATTTTCTTCACCCCTAGTTTTCTCCCATGCCACAGGAAGCCAGCCTGCTCACTTGGATACCTGATAGTCTGCCTAAAACTTCTTCCTCAAGCATCAGCATTTTTCCCAAGACAGGAGTCTGGAACTCTTCTTCCTAAAGATATGTGCATATTTTTAAAGGGTTCAGAACATTTATCATCTGACCACCTATTAAAACTACTACCAAAAGGCCTAGAGTTAAGCAACAACAACAAAACCCAAAACCCATATTTCCATAACAGAAAAAAACAAATGTCATGAAATACGCCCAGAAATTAAACATCAGTAAAGTGGCAGAGCAGGGGAAATAATAAATAATGTTTTAGATGAAAATCTAATTTATAAAATAAAGGCTTATCCTGGTATCTCTTCCTAAGTCTTCCCACTTCTTTTACACTGTTGGAATTTTATGAAACGTAACAACGACAAGGGAGCAAATATAGTAATATTCTGAACTGAAATTTCCTTTCAATTAAGAAGGTGGTTGGTTTATTAGGATGATTTGTTGTGGAGTTCATACTTATAAAGTTGTAGTTTATGTATTCATCACAGTACAGATACATTCAGGATACTCAGCTAGAAAACAAATTGTCGAATTCAATTTTTTAGGCAAGAGTCCATCTAACTCCATTGCTATGGGAACGGTTTCTTCACCCTTAAGTCCTTATTGATCATGATCCTAGATTTTTTTCCATCAAACTCAATCTGGTATGAGATGCTGGCAACACCCTGCTGGGTGCGGACTGCAGACCTACCACTGGAGGGCGTCTGGACGCTTCCAAAGCGCTCCGAAGCGCCTGGAAATCCTGGGACTCAAGGACTGGAGTGCGCAGGGGCGCCGGGGAGAGGGGTAGAGAATATGTTATTTGATTTTATTAGATAAATAAGTTTAAAAAAATGAGAGAGAAAACTGGCAGTTTGGGGAGGAGAAACTAAACTACTTCTGTGTTGTTGGGCTTTTTTTTTTTCTCCTGGAGATGAACCTTCCCACAGAGGTAGCAAAACTCACTAGAGTAAGAGTGAAAAATACCAGGGCGCAGAGCCCGCAGAGCCCCAGGAGGCCGGGTCTCGGGAGCCGGTGGCCCCGCGGCGCCGGGCGCCGGGCTGGCTTCCAGGTCGCCGGACCACAGAGGGACCCGTCTCCAGGCTCAAGGACCGCCTGCCTGGCTGCCAGGTGATCGCGCTTTGGTGGTGACGGAGGAACGAGGCGCTGCACGCAACCTGTCCTGGAACACTAGGAATGCAAGGCCTTTCCCCCATTAATAATTAACTCCTCTCCTCCTTCCCTCCCCTGGTTGTTCCCGCCATGGGTTAGTTCGAGGTATTTGAGGGAAGTGGGCAGCGAAGCAACCTCAGGATTGAAATGGAAAGGGTGCAAGGCATCTCTGATGGGCTTGCCTGACGCACATTCAGTTCCTCTCGGTTAAGATTCGCACTGAATTGTAATCACTTTACAATGATATTTTTTCCCCGATTGTTTTAAGAAAAACGTGCTTTCAAGACGTCACTTTGAAGAGAAGCGTTACTTCCTGCTTAAAAAAAAAAGAAAAACAAAAGGGAAGACCTCTAAGTCCTGGAAAGGAAGAGAAGAGATGGAAGGCAAAGAAGGAACGATGCTCAGATTTCCAGATCGCCCTGCGCCAGGCAACGTGCAGAGATTTACAAGAATACAGTTTCTCTTAGGTCGGTTCCAGGCCGTCAGCTGAGACTTACTAATCACCTGAGCAGCCCCAGAGGCAGATTTCCGCTCTCCTACGACAGACTAGGAGCCAGGTCCTATAAAATGGTAAAGATCCCTACTCCTAAGTGAGAAGACGTCAAATCATCGCTCAGCCCAGATCCAAGTCAGCATCCAAAGGGTTACACGTGGTTGCCGGGCTGAGCAGAGGAGAGGACGCCTCGGCACTCCCAGTAATTCAATTAGTCAGGTTTCAGGAAGGTGGGGCGTCATGCGCTGGAGGGTGGGGGCGGTGGTTAGGAGGCGCGGGGAGGGAGGAGACGAGGAAAACGCCTCTTTCTCGTGGAACAAACCAATCCGGTTGGAGAAAGGAGAGAGGGAAAAAAAAATCCCCGATCTGTAAGCAAACAGCAGGCTGTTCCCTGACTGGTTGCTCTACTCGACCCCCCCCCGCACCCCCATCCCAAGTAAACTGCTTGGAAGAAGGGGGGGGGGAGGGATGCAGCCCACATGACCCGGGCCGCGGTGGCAGCAAGCTGCGCTATCTGGGCGCGGGCTGGCGGCGCCTCCCCCTGCTCGGTCCGGAGCTCACTCCCGCGCCGCCTGCCAGCCCAGCGCCCCGCACAACACGCCCGGGCGGAGCCCAGCCCCTGCACCCACCCTCCACCCTCCACCCTCCACGTTCACGCGCCGGGCCTCGCGCTCCGCTGAGGCTGCCGGCCGCTCGGGTCGCTGCTGCTGCTGTCGGCTTTACACGCAGGTCATTAACGAGGGGGCGTGCCCGAGGAGATTTTTCCCATAAAGCATTTTTTCTCTTTCTTCCCCCCCCCCCTCTTTCGCAAAACTGACTTTTACCCCCTTTCCACTTCTCGCCAGTCGTTCCAATCTCTCCAGGGCTGCTCGTGCTGCTGCTGCTGCTGGTGGCTGCACTCAAGTTTATTTATTTTCCCGCCTGGGTGATAGGGGTTGTAGGATTCCTGGGTGGTTTTCACCTCTTGTTGTTGCTGTGCCTAAGCTGCAAGGAGGTGCTGCTGCGGGAGGAACGGGGGAGGTTTGTGATGTAGTCATTGGGGAGGTGCCACTCGCTCCAGCGCGCTCTCTCCTTTTATTCCCCCTCCCCCTTTCCATTTTTTCCCTTCCTTCCTCCCCCCCCCACCCCACCTTCAAACTGATTGATAGATCTCTACAAGTTGCTGGGCTTGAGGGCCGGAGCCGTCGGAGGCAGAGGGGACACTTCTTAGCGCTCACTCGGGGCTCCTGGCACGGCGTGGAGGAGCTCAAGCTAGCTCCCGGAAGGCGATCGGAGACTGACATCAGCCGGGCCAGGAGTTGGAAAGTGATTGTTTCCCCTCCCGCTTTCTCCAGCTGAACTGTTGTTGGGTTGGCGTCGTCCGGCAGGTTTGGGCATCCCAATTGTGCCTGGCTGGCTGGTTCATAACCTCTGTTCTCCATTCACTCTGCTGCACGCACATCCGGCCAAGGAAAGCACGCACGAGAAGTCCCCGCGCCTCGGCCAGCGCCCGGAGTGCCATCTCTCGCAGCCGCCGCGGTCCGACTCCACTGGGGACCTGCTGCAAGACGCGAAGAGCCAAACTTTTCTTTTGAGGTTTTCGAGGCCAGATCGCTCCTCACCGAGCGCAGCTGCTGCTCCTCCCGTTCCAGGACACCGGCGGGTCTGGGTTTGCGGATCCCCACCCTTCTCCTCTGCACCTCCCGGTACCGCAGTACCTACGCCTCCTCCGAGATTTCCGGGGGTCGCCCGATTTAAGGCACCGAGGGAGGCTGGGGAAAGCGCTCAGACTCCCCACCTCCCCCTCCCGGGGCCACAGGCGTGCAGCCCCCTCGTCTACACGGCGCCCTCCTGCAGTTTCCCACCAGCCAGCAAAGTAACTTGGAGCAAAGCGGAGCGCTGTGCGAGGGCCCAGGGCAGCGGCGGAGCCGTGCGCAGACTGCCGCGCCGCCGCTGAGCCGGGCCCGGCGGGCCGGTGTATGTCTCCCCGAGGCCGCGGCGCGCAACTCCCGGTGACTGTGCTGCGTGCGCCGCCGCCTGCCCCGATCCGCGCTGCTGCTGCCCGGCCAGGTCCGCACCTCCCTCTCCCGGGGTGACCGGCCTGCAGCCGACGCCCGAGACACAGCCTTGCACCCTTTCTCCCGCCCTCTCCACTGTCGCCACACACCCGCTCGCGTCTCTCCATCTTGTGATTCTTTTTTCTCCTCGAATCCTTCAGTGGGGGAGCGAGTTTGTCTTTAACCGCCCCCCTCCATCCACCGCCTTCTTTTCTTCTCGCTCTCCAACCCCTCCCGAGCTTGGTGTGTTCCTCCTTTCCTTTCTCGCCTCCCCAACCCCCTTCCCGCTTCGTTTTATTTATTCATATTTATTTGGCACCCGCTTTCTTCTTTCTGTCCCTTTCCCTCCCTCCCTCCGGATCCCTGCTCTCTTCCCCCGGAGTGGCGCGTCGGGGGCTCCGCCGCTGGCCAGGCGTGATGGTGCACGTGGAGATGTTGACGCTGGTGTTTCTGGTGCTCTGGATGTGTGTGCTCAGCCAGGACCCGGGCTCCAAGACCGTCGCCGACCGCTACGCTGTCTACTGGAACAGCAGCAACCCCAGGTAAGGCGGCTCGGGGCGGACAGCTGGGGCTTCTCGGGCCTCAGGGCCCGGGGAAGGAGCTGCGGTGGCGGAGACCGAGGCGCGCTAGCTGAAGACAGCGCGCACCCAGCGTCGCCCGGGCGCTGCTGGCTTGGAGGCGCCGGCGGGAAGCACTCCCTTCGCGCCCCGCTTTGTTAAGCCACCACTGGAAGGCCCGGTGCTCCCGGGGATTCCTGCGGCTGCCTGGCCCCAGCTGCTCTGGGGGACGTGCGGAGGATCGGGAAAGGGCGGGAGCCTAGGAGTTGGGACTTGTTCGCTTCCCAGCCGGGGCAGTCTGGCCAACATCCCCATCCCGGCTCAGGGCTTGGGCGCCGGGGATCCGCTGCTGTGCGCCGCCGACATCTCCTGCCCTGAAGTCTGAGTGCACAGGGACTTGGGGAGACAACACGCCAAACATCTCCAAACTTTTTTTTCTTTTTTTCTTTTCAATTCGCCTTCTCTTTTCCACCGATGCGCGCAGAGAGCGCACGGGCTTAAGGGGGAAGTGAGGGGGGCTGGGAAGCGGAAGCTTTAGGTTTTTTATTTTCCTCTTTAACTGCGAGAAAAATCATTTGGCCCGGAATCCGTCTGGGCCCGGCGCTCCTGGCAATGGAGAGGATGCTCCCACCTCTTGCAGCCCCCTCTCACCTAATGGGTTCCAGGTGCCAGAAAGTTTGATCTAATACCGGGTTACGTCATGTGTGCGGAGCAAGCTGCTGGAGTTGGAGGCACTGGAAGGTGGGAGCCCTCCGCCCGTGGCCTGGCGGTGCGCGGCCCGAGGCGCGCGCGCGGTTAACTGGAACCGCTTTGCAGGCGAGGCGCGCGCGCGGTTAACTGGAACCGCTTTGCAGGCGCCTCGGAAGCCCGCCCAGTACGCTGGAGGCTGGTGATGGGCGCCCGGGAATGTCTGGGCGCACGTGCTGGGCCCTAGCCAGCCGCAGACTTCCAGTTTGCTTAGACCCCGAAGTGGGTGTCTGTGTCTGTGGAGGTGGAGGGGGGGGTATCCAGAGTGTCTGGCGGACCCTTCCCAGCCCTAGATCTTACTTTCTCCCGGGCCTGGTGGCAGCAGTGGGCCCCCACCGCGCCTGTATCGCCCAACATCTCTGGGACTCAGGCCAGCTCCCATCTGTGAGAGGTCGGTGCCTCCTGGGAGGGAAATCGTATCGATTGTACCTAAAAGCATAGGGCTTTCTCTGGGCTACTCAGTGGAAGTTGAGAGGGAAAAGGCTAGTGGCCGAGGAGTGAGCCGGTGGTTGCTGCTGTCCAGTTTACGGTGGAGAGGGAACCCGCGAAGCCTCCAATTGTAGTTCCCATCAGTCCTCTCCACCCATCTCCAGTCTTCCCTGGGCATGCGTTCGTGCCAGGGCAATGCTGGGCTGACTAGAGTCAGCTGAGATGATGATGAAGAGAAACCTCTACCAGCGAGCTATTCGTGGGTTGTGGACCTGAGATGAACACCCCCTGCCTGCCCCTCCCCTGTTAATCCACAGTAGTCACACCCAAGTAGCCAGAGTCCTAAATGCACTGACTAGCAGAAGTGCTGACATTCCCGAAAGTTGAGTGTGTGTGTGTATGTGTGTGTGTGTTTTAAAGTCTCATGGAGGTGGGTGTTGGAAAGGGAAGCTACTTCTTCTTTGACATGCCACTTACCACTATTAGGAAAAGAGAAAGAAGCCATTCTGCCAGAGAAGATGCCTCTTATTAAAGCTGACAAGACAAATAGAGCAAGCTTTCCAGTTCTGATGGTGTTAAAAGCAAGCCTAATTATGTTGCTTGGTTTTATTCCCATTTGGGCCCTTTTTTTTAAGACACCGTATATGAAACAAAAAATTATATTTCTAAACTTTACTACTATGTTCAGGAAAGCACGAGTGAGTTCTTTAGTTGAATTTGGGGTATTTTGCTCTTGGTTGTCACTCTTAACTTTCCAGTGTGTTCATTTTCGCTTGGTATTCATTTATTTGGATATACGGATGTTCCAGTCTTCCCTAGGTTCAAACAGAAAGAGCCAGCAACACACCCATGCCCCTTCTTAACCTGTCCGGCTAGCCTGAGTTAGATTGAGGACATTTTATCTTAAGTTATCTCTGTTTTATGCTTTTGATACTGTTGTTTGGTTTGAGATTAGCACATTGATTTTTGTCACAGGTCATGTTTTTTAATACATCTGCCCTACCCGAAGAAAGCTCTTCTGCCCAGGATTGCTGTGGTGGCTTTGAATCTGACCATAGTTAACATGTAGAATTTTCACACACCAAGAGTATTCTTAAGAAGTCTGTGTGCTTATTTAAACATTGTGAAAAGATCTTTCTCTTAGTTTGATAACTTCCTCAAGAAAAAATGATATATCCCACTCACCTTCAAGAAATGTAGTTCCAACATTTAAAATTCTTATGGGATATAGAGGCATTTATCCTAGTGTGTTACTAAAGTAAAACTTAAAAAACAGTATTTTAAAAGTAGATAAGTAGTGTAGGCAGTTTGTAACTCAGAAATATTCACTTAATATTGGTGCATTTTTATGTATTAAGAAAAATCAGGTTAGATGTAGTTTTCAAAGGGCCTGATAAAACTCAAAAATATCACAAAGGATAGAAAATGGTTCATGTACGTTATGATTTTGTACAGTAAGTTGTCAATATTATATGAAAGTGTCAAGATTTTGCTGAACTATTAATCTGCAGACTTCAGTCTATTGACAATGTACACCATATTAATCACAACTTAAATAGATTTTTAATTTTTATCTTAGAAGAAAAGTTTACTAGACAGTGTCAAACTAAAATGAGTACTGTGTGTAACTGAATTATACTTTTGTGTATACTAATAAATTCCATCTGAAGTTGTTTAGTTAGGTAAAATTAGAATTAAATATTTCTCCATCACAGGAATTGAACATCTTATTGTGTTACATCTACTTGTGCTACAAGTAACTGTATAACTGATACATTCAGTATCATTACTACCTTCCATTGATGGTAGGAACATCTATGTATCTAGGGTCACAGGAAAAATATTAACTTAGGTTCTGTCTGAATAGTAGTTTTACTGTTACAATCTGTCTTCCTACTAGTCACTTCTGGGAAGTATATATTCAATTTTCAAATTGAATATCTGCTAACTTTGTAGTTGGCAGGATTTATCGGGCACTGAGCCAAACTGATTCTATGCATTGGATTGGCCCAAATCTGTGAAGAAGCAATTGAAAACTATCAGTCTGAATAGAAATATTATATGATTGCATTTGTCCACACACATCCTCCACAATTCTAAAATCTGAAAACTTGCATGAGTTTTGCCTAAAAGCGTGAATGATAGAATGATCCTCTTACTGTTATGTGGCATTTGTCACTGGAATATTGCTAAGTAACTTTAAGTCATGTTAGTCTAAATCAAAGAAAATAGAATTGTCTTCGATTTCTTTAAGATTGTAGGAAGGTCTTAAGTAACTTTTTAAAAAGACGGTCAGTAATAAAACTTATTTAATTCTCCCTTAGTAGCCAGCTGTGCTTTTATATAGAGACATGACGTAGGATTGAGAACATGCCTCTTACCTTGGAACATGATGTAAGAAGTTAGGTTCCTCCAGTGAGAATATTCTTTTAAACACTGTGTATATTGAAAAGTTCTTCTTAGACTCTTTTGACAATTTACCAACATTATGATAAGGTAATTAAACAGGTTTCCTGGTTGACATTATGAGTTGAATACAATATAATATTGCAGCAAATAAAAGCATCATACTATTATCAACACTAATTCTTCTCTGTTGGTGCTTTATTTCTGTCAAGATTTGAGTATTGTAAATTTAAAAGCCTTTTCTTTCAATTGAAAAAAAAAGAAACTGTGAATGCATCAAGGGTTTACTGAAATTTAACCTCACTGTGTAGTCTTTGGATTTTTTCCCATTCTTTAAAAACATGTAAATTAAGCATTTCACATTAGATTAGAAAGTAACTATATCATTTACAATGGTCAACAAGTAATATTAGAATTGTAGGAAGAATTTTATAACAGGATTCCCTTCACTCTGCTCTTTCACTGGCTATGAATTTTTTCCCTAATGATATTCCTTTTTTTTTCTTCCAAAATTTAGTTGCTTCCATTTCAGAGATCGGAATAACCATCATTTTTTTTTAAAGCAGTATACTCTTTTCAATGAAAAATAAGTGAATTTATCATGGTATAAACCCAGGAACTTGTGCCAAAAAGTGAAAAGTTTATATCTCAGTTTTCAAGCTTGTTACTTAACTTGTAAAAGATTCGCTTCATTTTTTTTAAAGTTAAAATCTTTTAAATGTTTTTCATGTTAGACACATCACTGAAAATATTAACTCTGAGCCTCAAAGTAATATGATTTTATTATATATGTTGGGATAATTTTTCATATTTATATCAAAGTTTATGTTACTATCAGGATAAAAACAAAGCACTATAGATGAGACTTTTAGCCTTTTTTGTCCCCTTAAGACATTCCTTCCTTTCAACCCAGATATTTGCAAAATAGAAGTGTGCTTCTTGTTCTTTAGCCAGTTTTCCATAGAGTTTTGCAATGCAAAGTTATCTACCGAGTTGTCATCTTCCAGCTATTATGTGCATTATTTTAGATATACAAAATAAATGCCAAAATAGGCAACTGTCTATTTTTTAAGTGACTGAACATCAGTGCTCATTGAGGCACAGTCTTATTTGGCTGTACAATCAGTCTCAGTTGCCATTTCCAGTGTGAAAGTAATGTCAATACATTACTGGTGATTAAAAGGATCAGAAAATCTTTAGTTCATTATTCCATTTCACATGACTTTAGTGCTATTAACTAGATCACTGGCTCATGGAAGTAATAGTTTATTGTCATGTGTGTTATGGCTGATAAAACTCTGGCTTTAGAAGTTTTTACCTTTGAAAACTGAGAATCAGATTTGGAAAGAGCACTTAGCTATTTGGGGCAAGTTAACCTCCTGAATTTCCTTCCATTTAATCTT